CGAGCTATCATCAAATTATATGTCCTATAATACCTCAATTACATACTATTTGAATAGTTGACAAATAATGCTATAATTTTTCGTTTTTTATAACTAGGTTTTCTAGACCTATAATTCCATAGCATCAGTAAAGATCATAACCCTATTTTGGTTATCTTATCCTAGGTCGTTTCTTGCTGCCTTTCTACGTAAGTCGCTCACTATTTTTTTCAGCCTTTATTCACTTGTTCGGTGTTTTTTAGCTAACAAATGAGGCTGAGTGTGAAAGATTTTTTCACTGTAATTGGACTTACAAATTTTCCATACTGCTCGCAAGATCAGATTATGGCTGCTCCACCAATTTGTATATTTTCTCGTCAATCCTATTTTGGTTAACACATCTCATTTGATAGGTCTCTATGGGGCTGTTTTCGCCCGCTTACGTCTTCATTCACGAATAATATTATATATCTTGTTCATTGATTATTTTTGGATGTATTGGACAATTTTTTAAATTTCGAAACTGATTTTTAAAAATTTTTTATAGCTTGGAATGGTGACATTATCGCTTTTTCGAACAATACTTAACTTTCATTGTGAAGACGTGATGTACGAATTACTATTCAAGCAAGTTTTTTCCCGTTAAATCGACCAACCATTTTTATTGCTCCATCTTCTAATTCTGTTTTGCTGTTAAGTTACTCTCTCGTATTCGAATATTATTTAGCTTTGCATAGATACTTAAAGCACACTGTGATGCAAAAATTGCAATCCAAGCTGAGCTTAAGAGCCTATTTTCGGAATCTAAAATATATTCATTTAGGAGTATTGAAGACGACTTTAATTACTGTGGAGAGCTTAATAATGAGACCTAAAATATCAAAATGTTACCCTATCAGAGATCTTATTTGTTCTCATACTAAAAGACTTAAGTAAAGCAGTTATTAACTTCACATGATTAACATCCTCTTTTTTATGCCCATTAGCTGAATCTATGCGTTTAGAATAGCACTTTTGACTTAAGGCTACTGTTTTTTTTACTAAAAATGTTTTAAGCATAAACTTTACGCTTTATATATGCCCTAAAATGTTTACTAAATATATATATTTTCCTTATTTTTTTCTTTATTGAAAATCCAAAAAGGGCTTTTTTCGTAGATATGAAGACCAAGATAGTGTGGCCTTCTGTTTAGTGGCTGTATAGTACTAGTTATACTTCGTTTTATCAACTTATTCGGAGCCACTCTGCTCAAGACGACGCTTCTCACTGACGATGCAGGCGAAACGCCTGAGAATTTACCAAATCAACGGTCCGATGCATGAAAACAGGAATATTATGGGAGACGACGCAAGGCCTTCCTTCTGTCCCGATGAAATTGCGAAAATGAGGTTAAATCAACACTAACAGCTAACGGAGACTGAGACAGAACCAAAGATTCACCATCCTGGTCTTCATAACTATGATCTCAAGGCTTTTGATTGAGTATATTTCGAACATCCTTATATGGTAACAAAATTATAAAAAAGTTGTTTTACCTTGTTTTCGAAATTTGGTCATATTGGTAGGAAGATTTAGAGGAACGCGCCTTGTCCGGAGTTCATTTTATCGATAATCATTTCTAAAGTCGGACCGTGGGCGTGGTACATTCCCAGATGTTTCGCCAGCATCCTAGTCGGCATCGTCAGTGAGGTTTGCCATTCGTAGCGCCATATTACAACGCGTCAGAGACAAGTGAAGCCAATTCTTTGACCGAACGTGTGCTAAACAGTTATGGTATCTCCCCTTCTGCCATGGCCTATTTACATTTCATATATCCTCCTATCACGCCTTCACTGTCACAATATTTTACTTGTTTAATTAAATGTGGTACGGTATGCCCTTTTGAACGGCTTTCATGAAACCCTCCGTACTCCACGCTGGCCTTCTCACCCCCCTTCATCCTTGTGCAGGGAATGTTGATCAGAGTCTGCCATATTGTTACGCAGTCCTCCTCCTCTAGTTCTTACCACAGTCTATCTCTTGCCCCGTAAGATCTGTTTGCCCTCTCCCTAATTCACATATTTCACTCGACCCCTGCCAACCCATCTGTACCACTCGAGGCGTTATTCGCCCTCTTCTGTGTCTGGGTAACTAATTCGGGGCTAAAGCCTCTGAGTAAGTCTCATGGTCACGCCTTTGCCACATGGACCACGTCTTTTATAAAACCTACTGTCAGCCCACAAGCTCTCATCGTCGCCGCGTCTCTTCTGTTTCTATCTCTAATACCAAGTCTATGACTTCCCATGCCCTATTCTCTTGTGTGCCAACCCACAAACGTTGTGGTTCAACATTGAACCTAGTCAAAGCAAGCAGTACCACAACATTTGGGCGTTGGCACACAAGAGAATAGGGCATGGGGAGTCATAGACTTGGTATTAGAGATAGAAACATCATAGAGGCGGTGGCGATGGGAGCTAGTGGGCTGACAATAGGTCTTATAAGAGACGTGGTCCATGTGGCAAAGGCGTGACCATGAGACTTACTCAGAGGCTTTAGCTTTGAATTAGTCACCCAGACGCAGGGGAGGGCGAATAACGCCTCGAGTGGCACAGATGGGGTGGCAGGGGTCGAGTGAAATATGTGAACCTGGGAGAGGGCAAACAGATCTTACGGGGCAAGAGATAAACTGTGATAAGAACTAGAGGAGGAGGACTGCGTAACAATATGGCAGACTCTGATCAACATTCCCAGCACAAGGATGAAGGGGGGTGAGAA